GCACATTGAGCAGGGCCCTCAATCCCTCTGTTCCTATGTGTCCAACTTGTCTGGTTACAACTACATGTCCACCCATTGTAAAGCGCTGCGGAATTTGTTGGCGCTATATAAATAATATTAATAATAATAATGACATGCCCTGTTTTATCATAGAATGAAGACCAATGATTCTTACTATCAGAACACAGTCTATCAATTGTCTTAGCTGAACTCTCGCGTTTTCTGAGACAGCTGTATTTAGCCCAAGACAATTCATAAATAAAATATTCTATCAATGCTAATGTGATAATGCTGCAGTTTACCAACATTAGATTTGTAAACTATAATTTAAGCTGTGCTTTTGTGAGATTTCATGTATTTGAAAGCATTTCTGTAATGCTTTGTTCATTTACATTTCAATTTAGTGTAATATATTCCTTTCCTAACGCTAATGTTATTCAAACATACTTGTCAATATGGAATAAGCTGTTCCCTCACTTACATTAAGCAAACACAAGTCGATGACATTCTCAGCTCAAGTAGAAAATACTAAGATAAAATATTTGCAACATTGAAAGTAGAAATACCATCAGAATCTGGAAGGAAATATGCATTGTGAACACAGCAATGAGAGCTTTTTAGATCCTTGATGTCACAGTTGTTTGTTTGCTTTTTTTAAATTTTCTAGAAAACCAGATTTGAATTCTTTTTAATAAATGGGCCCTTTGCTGTCCCAGGATATTGTAATATTGTCAGAATTACTAGAAAACAAATATTAAATAATATACATGATGGAATATACTCTGACTCCCATCCACCTGAGCCACCACTGGACCCCAGGGAAAGTCACCCTCCTGCACCTAAAAGGTAGGAAACAGGAGGGTGACTAAAATATTTTGTGTGTGTTTGTTTGTGTATGTGTCTTTATATGTATGTCTTGTATGTATGTGTATGTATGTGTATGTATGTGTGTCTTATGTATGTGTCTTTGTATGTATGTGTGTGTCTTTGTATGTGTCATGTGTGTGTGTGTGTCTGTATATATGTGTTTATGTATGTGTGTCTTGTCTTTGTATGTATGTGTTGTGTGTGTATCTGTCTTTGTATGTATGTGTGTCGTATGTATGTGTGTCTTGTGTCTGTCTGTATGTGTGTATGTGTCTTTGTGTGTGTCTTTGTATGTGTGTGTCTGTATGCATGTCTGTGTGTGTGTCTGTATGTATGTATGTGTGCCTGTCTGTTTGTATGTATGTATCGTGTGTGTGTGTGTCTGTATGTGTGTCTTGTGTGTCTGTATGTATGTATGTGTGCCTGTCTTTTACTATAGTGGGCTATAGTAAGTAATAGTGAGTGGGATACCTAGCTCAGCCTTCCTACTGGACATTGCTATAAGAAAGGTTAAACATTTTTTAAAAAAGGGAATAAAAAAGGTGGGGAGGGGAATTGAGGAGGGAGAGTAGATGAGCTGACGAACAGATGAGAAATCATATTATGCGCAAACAGAGAAGTCGTCTGAATATTACCGAAAGAGGAGACCTTCGTTTGTTCCTTATGAAAATCGAACCAGATATCAAATATTTAGTCTTGCAGCATCAGCCTCAAGGATCTCATTAATCACTAGTAAAGGTAATTTCAATTTACTTTATTGTTTTCTCATTAAACTTTATAAAGTTAAAAACATTATAAACATGCATTATGTAGAAATAAAAATATAAATGTACAAACTTTTTTTTTTTTTTTAAAACACCCTCCTTTCTAAAAAATATTCCGCACTTGGGCGAAAACTGGTGGGCGGTAAGGAAATGTTTCCATCAAGAAAGATGCATTAGTGGGCGGTAGGTAGAAAAAGGTTGACTACCCCTTTGACTACCCCTGGTATACACGCTACTTGCAAATGGAGAAGGATAATTAGCAAGGACACTATAGGCAAAACATAAGTGCACTCAAAATGCTAGAAATAATATTGTTGCTCTGTTGTCCCTTGCCTCGCACACTACTACCTTGCATTATCTGCTTTTACTGTGGTCTACATTTGGACTGATTTTCTTTTGTTTATTGATTGGAATGGGTTCTTGATTATTTTTGTATTTTGGTGTTTGTGATATATGATCCGGTTTCATTGTATTTGCTTATAGAAACATAGAAACATAGAATGTGACGGCAGATAAGAACCATTCGGCCCATCTAGTCTGCCCAATTTTCTAAATACTTTCATTAGTCCCTAGCCTTATCTTATAGTTAGGATAGCCTTATGCCTATCCCACGCATGCTTAAACTCCTTTACTGTGTTAACCTCTACCACTTCAGCTGGAAGGCTATTCCATGCATCCACTACCCTCTCAGTAAAGTAATACTTCCTGATATTGTTTTTAAACCTTTGCCCCTCTAATTTAAGACTATGTCCTCTTGGTGTGATAGTTTTTCATCTTTTAAATATAGTCTCCTTCTTTACTGTGTTGATTCCCTTTATGTATTTAAAGCTATACATGTTAAAGGGACACCATAGTCACCCAGACCACTTCAGCTCAATGAAGTGGTCTGGGTGCCAGGTCCCTCGGGGTTTAACCCTTCACATGTAAACATAGCAGTTTCAGAGAAACTGCTATGTTTACATAGCAGGGTTAATCCAACCTCTAGTGGCGCATCCAGCATGCAGAACGTCCATAGAAAAGCATTGAGAAATACTATGGACTGTTTAAATGCACGCGCGGCTTTTGCCCCGTATGCGCATTCAGCTCCACTCGGGATCTGACGTCGGCGTGGGAGGACCGGATTAAGGTAAGTGGCTGAAGGGGTTTAACTCCTTCAGCCCAACGGGAGGGGGACCCTGTGGGTGTGAGTACCCCAAGAATGACATAGTGTCAGGAAAACGAGTTTGTTTTCCTGACACTATAGTGATCCTTTAAGTTCCTTTAACCTTTTCTGGTAGGTTGTATCCTGCAATCCATGAACCAGTTTAGTAGCCCTTCTCTGAACTCTCTCTAAAGTATCAATATCCTTCTGAAGATACGGTCTCCAGTACAATACTCCAAGTGAGGTCTCACCAGTGTTCTGTACAATGGCATGAGCACTTCTGTCTTTCTACTGCTAATACCTCTCCTTATACAACCAAGCATTCTGCTAGCATTTCCTGCTGCTCAATTACATTGTAAGTCTTCTATTTTGAGTTCTTGTTTGTCCATTGTACAGATATGATGGGTATAATCTATGTAAAACTTGTTGATTGTTACTTTATTGGCCAAGGTATGTGGTCTATATAGCGTTGTGTATGTGTGACAATACGGCCTTAATATATCGTCCGTGGGTTTCTTCTTACATAACTTGCAGCACTACACTGCTCCACTAAATGCTAGGACTCATCATCGGTAGTGTATGCAGGACATACTGAGTTGATATCTGGTTACAATATGGTATTCTATCCATCCAGTCTTCTGGCAATTAATCCTATAAAATGTTGTTACTTTTATGGGATGTGCTCCTTATTTATTTTTTATAAATGCTACTCACAGACATTATAAATGCTATTCACAGAATGAAGGCTAATTATTGCTGCGACATAAGAACATAGGTCTCCCACTGTTAAATCATATATAATGACAAGCTGTCACTATACAGTTCTTGGTCCTCTCCTCGGTGATACACAGAAAGCTCTATGTAGGGCTTGGTCTCAGTAATTAGCTGGATAAGGCGTGCAGGGAGACCTGGTTCACATCCAGCAGGTCTTTCATTGATGGGAAATCAGTGATGTCACCAAAGATGCTACATGTCATGGTCACAGAGTAATTCAGCCTTGCAATATTCACATCCATCACTGTATATATCCAATCAGTCAGTGTAGGGCCACTAATCTGGAACCACTGATAATGGGAAGTCCCACGTTTTAAAAGATATCTGGTTTTCCCTGGTTCCAGCAACAGAAAGCCTGCATGATGGCACTAATCCATCACTGGACATTAAACGCTTGGCAGATAGGATGGCATAAATCTGCCTTTGGGACGTGTAGGTGTTAAGGTCATGGAATAGGGTGCCAAGAGAATTAAATGATAACTTTTTAAGTTTCTGACTGGAGTAACACTCATTCTTCCCATTCTTAGATGTTGGACAGAAATGCCTTTTATTCAAAATGTAATTTAATTTTCGATGTGGGAAACGTGCCAGAGTCTTTATCTATGACACTATATTTTTATGGGTCACCCTGGATGACCCTCCTTGTATAAAAGCATTAGACATACTGATGGCTTCAAAGCTATTACATATTTTCTACAAGAACATAACAGCCTGGCCCAAATTCAATAAAAAAATATTAGGAAATAAAGATGTTTTTTTTGTTTCAAGGTGTCTATTACTCGAAACCATGTTCAATGGCAATAGTTACACCCGAGATGTACATACCTTTCGGAACCTAAAGTAGTTTACGATTACAAGTGGTTTGTGAATGGTCATCTTTGTACTATTTTGAGGATAAGTAATATAGGACTATATTGTATTATAAGAGATAAACATATTTCTACTAAATTGGAAATCAATGCCAATTCAGTCACCCCAGATAAGGTATTCGGAATCAAACCTGTAGTAGGAAGACCGTGGAAAGAGCATACACAAAATCTCAACCTTAATGCTCGGATTTGCAAGTGTGTTGCTGTACATCCAGACAATGTGTACATTAGGCAACAAGTGACCTATAGTTCAATCAAGTTGTATAAAAAATATAACCATGAGTTCAACCATGAATTAAGGTACATGTAGGTCTTAGATCTCTCTGCTACAGGTGGAAGCTGCAACAGTTATTGGAAAATAAATCGACCAGAGGTCATTATAACCATCATGGAATTCTAAAATATCTAAACATATAGCTAACAATGAGATCAATACTTACCTCTTAGATTCCATAAAAGTAAGGTAATAATAAAAACAATAATATGCTATTTGTTTCTAAATTTTTTGAAACACTTCTCTTATACATTTTTAGGAGCAGAATAATTACAACTCTATTCCTAAGAAAACAAAACAATGATATTTTTCTGCATTCCATCAAAAATAAACTTTCTATATTCTATTCCGACTGGCAAGTTATGTTGTTTCTCAGGTTTCATTTTACGGGTGTTTGACATTAACAACGGCTTTAGTCTGGGCTGCCCAAATTCTCCCCTTACTGTCTGTCCTCTCCCTTGGATCCACATATTCAATCATGTTCATCTGGATTCTCGGGACGCTTTATTGAAAGTCTCACTATTATTTTAGTTGCGCTATGATGGTTCATATTACGCTTGAAAAAAATCGTAGTTTGTGTTTATTTCAACTTCATGCTAAAGTGACAAAATCCTTCAACAAGATCTGTTTATGAATCTCCCGACAGAAGAAATTATGGTTTCCCATTCTTTAATGTCATTGAAGCAATGTTTTTGACTTTATTCCTATAGAAAAAAATAAAAATAAATGTTTATTCTTAAGTAATTTTTTTTGTTTTTTGTTTTTTAAAGTAAAAAGATAAATTAGTTTTCCCTCAAGGCAGTTTGTCTGAACAGTTCTTTAAGAAAGCTTAGCTGAATCCTGCTACGATAAATAAGAAATTTGAAGAAAGTCTCTCGGGCCAATTTCTTATCAGCTGAGTGAATTTAAAGGTTCTTCAAAGACCCGATCTGACATCCCCATTTGCTATACTCATTTACTGACATCATTTCAGCAGTAGAAGATAGGATATTCGGTGAAGAATCCTTACTAAGAGCAAATTATATTATTGAAACAGATTGCTTTGTGATAGTCATATTGATTACACTCTCTTTGTTCATGGGAAGGCTTAATAGTTAATCACAGCCTTCCAAGTGTTTCTTATTAAAAGCTTTAATCTCCTATTTCAGGAATATAAAAATATCACATTTACCTGCGAAAGGCTGCAATATTTGCAGGTTCATTGGACAGATTTTCATTTAGAGTTGTCTTTATTTTATTTTATGTGATCAGTTAAGATTAAGGGGACATTAAATAGCCACTACAGCTCCGTGTTTGAATGTAAAACAAATTCTGGGAAACATATAGCTAATAGTATCAGCTTGTGATCGGTGTGTTATTACAGCTCAATGTGTTATAACATCTGTAATTATCATAATACAATGAGCTGTAATAATATGATAAACTGTAATAATACAATGAGCTGTAATAATACAACGATCTGTAATAGTTAACTGAGCTGATGTAATACACTGAGTTGTAATAATATGACAAGCTGTAATAATACAATGAGCTGTAATGGTAAACTGAGCTGATGTAATACATTGAGTTATAACAATATGATAAGCTGTAATAATACAATGAGCTGTAATATTAGATTGAGTTGTTGTAAAACACAGAGATGTCATACTATAATACATTGTAATAGCAAACTGTGATTTAGAAAAGTCGGTTTTATTAATATTATATATTTATTAAACAAACGTGTGTGGGAGCCTGGAGTGTCCCTTTAATAATATAAACCCACCCAGTATAACTAACTGTAACCTAACCTACACAGTGCATCTAACGTGTGTGGGAGCCTGGAGTGTCCCTTTAATAATATAAACCACCCAGTATAACTAACTGTAACCTAACCTACACAGTGCATCTAACGTGTGTGGAGCCTGGAGTGTCCCTTTAATAATATAAACCCACCCAGTATAACTAACTGTAACCTAACCTACACAGTGCACCTAACGTGTGTGGGAGCCTGGAGTGTCCCTTTAATAATATAAACCCACCCAGTATAACTAACTGTAACCTAACCTACACAGTGTATCTAACGTGTGTGGGAGCCTGGAGTGTCCCTTTAATAATATAAAGCCACCCAGTATAACTAACTGTAACCTAACCTGCACAGTGTATCTAACGTGTGTGGGAGCCTGGAGTGTCCCTTTAATAATATAAACCCACCCAGTATAACTAACTGTAACCTAACCTACACAGTGCACCTAACGTGTGTGGGAGCCTGGAGTGTCCCTTTAATAATATAAAGCCACCCAGTATAACTAACTGTAACCTAACCTACACAGTGCATCTAACGTGTATGGGAGCCTGGAGTGTCCCTTTAATAATATACACCCACCCAGTATAACTAACTGTAACCTAACCTACACAGTGCATCTAATATGTGTGGGAGCCTGGAGTGTCCCTTTAATAATATAAACCTACCCAGTATAACTAACTGTAACCTAACCTACACAGTGCACCTAACGTATGGGAGCCTGGAGTGTCCCTTTAATAATATAAACCCACCCAGTATAACTAACTGTAACCTAACCTACACAGTGCACCTAACGTGTGTGGGAGCCTGGAGTGTCCTTTTAATAATATAAACCCACCCAGTATAACTAACTGTAACCTAACCTACACAGTGCATCTAACGTGTGTGGGAGCCTGGAGTGTCCCTTTAATAATATAAACCCACCCAGTATAACTAACTGTAACCTAACCTACACAGTGCACCTAACGTGTGTAGGAGTCTGGAGTGTCCCTTTAATAATATAAACCCACCCAGTATAACTAACTGTAACCTAACCTACACAGTGCACCTAACGTGTGTGGGAGTCTGGAGTGTCCCTTTAATAATATAAACCCACCCAGTATAACTGTAACCAAACCTACACAGTGCATCTAACATGTGTGGAAACCTGGAGTGTCCCTTTAATAATATAAACCCACCCAGTATAACTAAGTGTAACCTAACCTACACACTGCACCTAACATGTGTGGAAACCTGGAGTGTCCCTTTAATAATATAAACCCACCCAGTATAACTGACTATAACCTAACCTACACAGTGCACCTAACGTGTGTGGGAGCCTGGAGTGTCCCTTTAATAATATAAACCCACCCAGTATATCTAACTGTAACCTAACCTACACAGTGCATCTAACGTGTATGGGAGCCTGGAGTGTCCCTTTAATAATATAAACCCACCCAGTATAACTAACTGTAACCTAACCTACACAGTGCATCTAACGTGTGTGGGAGCCTGGAGTGTCCCTTTAATAATATAAACACACCCGGTATAGCTAACTGTAACCTAACCTACACAGTGCACCTAATGTGTGTGGGAGCCTGGAGTGTCCCTTTAATAATATAAACCCACCCAGTATAACTAACTGTATCCTAACCTACACAGTGCACCTAACGTGTGTGGAGCCTGGAGTGTCCCTTTAATAATATAAACCCACCCAGTATAACTAACTGTAACCTAACCTACACAGTGCATCTAACGTGTGTGGGAACCTGGAGTGTCCCTTTAATAATATAAACCCACCCAGTATAACTAACTGTAACCTAACCTACACAGTGCACCTAACGTGTGTGGGAGCCTGGAGTGTCCCTTTAATAATATAAACCCACCCAGTATAACTAACTGTAACCTAACCTACACAGTGCATCTAACGTGTGTGGGAACCTGGAGTGTCCCTTTAATAATATAAACCCACCCAGTATAACTAACTGTAACCTAACCTGCACAGTGCACCTAACGTGTGTGGGAGCCTGGAGTGTCCCTTTAATAATATAAACCCACCCAGTATAACTAACTGTAACCCAAGCTAAGTTCTTCCATTGGTCAATGAAAAGTATAACCCGGGCCTAATATCTCTCCAAAATACATTTTGGTAACTTTGTAAAAGCTATTTCAACTTGAAAGATAATTTACTTTATCTAAATTTGGTGCTAGTGAGCCCAATAATGAAAGGAGTTTATAAATAGAAGCTGGCGCAATACTTTCCCTGATACTAATGTATCATAATATCCAGAACTCATTAAGACAGAGTGGACAGATTAAGATGATCAATCCACAGAAAACAACATTAAGTGTCAGTAAGGAATGGAAAATAAGCAATGTTATCGCAAAATGATGATCGAGTACCTCGTACTGATGGCAGTTTATCAAATTCTCTCATCTGCATAAACAGCATTGATGTAAAGTTACAGAGGTCCAATTATTCCAAAAAATGCAATGTCAGGGGGAGCCAAGGTGTAAATACAAATATAATATATAACAAATGGAATAACTGGAGACCTTATCCATTTGTGTAGATGGTCTTCAATGACCTGGGTCTCAGCCTTAGGGTCTCTTAGCTGTTTGTTGAATTTATAGTTTGAGTTAAATAAAAAATAAACTACTATTTTTTGTAGGACAGGGACAGAGAGTTCTACAGGATTACTGCTACAATGTACTGGTCAGATACCATTGGTAAAAAATACCCAATTAGATATTTCATTCCCAGCTTGTGTCAAACTATGGCCTTGATTTAATTAGCTTTCCAAATCTTTTAATACTGTTATAAAAACCTTCCAAACAATGTATCTCCAAAAATCCCGATAGGTTTAAATTGTGACTTCTGTGGATAAAGGATTTCGAAAGTTTTTCTAACAGTATTGAATCTTTAGGAAACCTTATTAAGTCACCATCCATGTTGGAGTAGTTTTAGAAATACCAGGGCATTCCTGGTGCCTACAGCCTGATCTTTCACTTGCCGATTCAGGGAAGAGTATTATATATATATATACACACATACCAACAAAATATGGGGAGCATAGCGCAGTATAGAGTGCTGCATGACATGGGGAATATAAACTTCAGCTGGCCAAGCTGCCCACCAAGGACACCGAGTCTCTGGTGCTGGACAAGGATCCTGAAGTTGCTGCTCGTGGAACTGATAACTCAACTGGCAGATGTCTCCTTACACTTCTGGGTATTGTTTTCATTTTGGCTGGGCTCATCGTTGCGGAGCTTGTATGTACAAGTACTTTAGGTCCAGGCACATGTTTTAAGGAAACATGTTCATGATCATGGTGAGGAACTGGACCTGGAGCTGCAGAAGTGCTTATTGATTTGCCTCTTCATGAAGCTAGCTAGTGGAACCTACTTGTGGCAGACCTACCTGGATTGTGAAGAGCTGGTAGTGACAGAGTTAATTGATGACACTATATTGGGAAAGAGACTTACAGGCTTCAAAGAAGAGATAAAATTGTTGGTCTTCAGAAGTGATCTGCTGAAAATTGTGCCAGGTATAAACACTTTGAGAATACGTTTGTGATCGAAACAAGGATCTGCAAGTAGCCACAAGAGTGACATAATTTCACAGAATCACCACTTTTCCTGATGTGCAATAATAATCAAAGCATTTTTGTATAACTCATTGCTGTGTGCTCCCGTTTTTAGCTATTTTTATGGCCCACAAATAAAACCATACCAGGTAAGATAACCTAAGGAACGTCACCTTAGTTTACTGAACCTGTGTAAACAAATTGTCACTGCTCCAATCAGAATTGCAAAAACAGTTGGCTATTAAGTGGTGGATGCAATAAACTTAGATTTGTGGGTTTTTTCTCTCTTTAAAATTGGCAAATCTGGCAATGAGGTGGCAGAAGTCACGTTTATA